AATGAATGATAACAACAACTAAGGCATTGGGAATCACTTAAATGCTTTAATAGGGTTGAATATTAGTTCTTTGCCAATACTTATGAATACGATGTCGCTAATATATTCTCAACTCCGGTTAAGGCAGCGAGAGCGTGGTTTTCGTTACGTGTAAGTCCCGTTACGACTTACATTCATCTACCGAAAACCCCGTTGAATATCAAAACATCACACCCGTATCATATAATACAGGATATATTTCTATTCTCGGTAATATATATGTTTATCCTTTAGTTTTCATAGTTTAGACTTCAACGTTAATTGCAAGCATAAACTAAATTTAACATACTTCTATGTTGTACACCATAGTCATAAACAATCAAAATGTAAAGGATAAATCACAATTTATTGGTTTAGAACTTTTATCAAACACCTAATGGGCATAGAAGTTCATCCCTAGCCTTAGCCAAGAAATTAGCCTCTAGAGCTCATATTAATCACAAAACAATATTGAAATGTAATGGAACATGAAATTACAAAGGAAATAATACCTAAACACCAATGATTTCGGAGGTTGAAGTTTCCTCCTCAAGAACTTGAAGAAACGGAGCAAGAACAAACTATAAAGACTAAGAACTAATCTATGGAATGAGATGTGTTTGCTTGATGAATTGAGGGCTTTATATAGGCTAAAGAATAGCATCTTTTAGTCTATTCAAGTCCAACAATAAGGTATGGAGGCAATATTTGATCAAGAGGTGAGGAAGATAAGTTTTCCCATCAAAAATCCTCTTGCACGACCTTTTGTTTGAGCTGAAATCGTCTCAACCGGCGCCAGTTGGTCAGTGACCGGCCCCGGTCGCAAACAGGCCCGTTTAGTGCAGCGCCCAAAAATGTACTCCGCCTTTCTTCCTTCGAAATGGATCAAAACGTATCGGGTTTTGTCCTGGAATTTTGGGAATGTTACGCTACGAATTTGGACATGATTTCTTTACCAAAGTTGTAGATAATGAAGTCTTCTATCCACCAAAACTTGAATCAAGTGATTTTATTCACCCAATCAAAAGATATGAATAAAACACTGAGACGTATGCATCCTGAAATCCCACCAGCAACATATGACTTTATTGGTTGATTGGGTCTTGTTCCGTTCATATTCTGGCCATGATGTCTCCATAACATTTGTACCTTATTGAGTTAACATTCACATGAAACTCGAATCGGGTGATTTCGAGTTCAATAAAATAAGTTATACTCAAATTATGGGCAGAAGGTCATCCTCTTGGTCCAAAAAGTCGTTCATCGCAATGATTATTGCTCTAGCTCATATTCTGAAGATATTTGCCCGCTTTCTCTCCTTTTCTTCAACGAATACTTATAAATACTTATGTTAAACATAAGTAAATATAACGGCTATAAAAAAGTCTTAAATAGAAAAGCCAGTAACTGTTAGGTAAAAAGATGACTGTTTGATTTAGTTCTATTTGGTATACAAGCTGTTATGACTAATTAATACTAAAAGTGACAGACTTTTCTCATATGTTATTCTTTGTAGCATCTCAAAAAAGATTTTTTAATTTTTGAAAAGCTCTCAAAAGTTGTCATGCCAAACATACGACAAGAAGCTTTTAGAGATTTTTTAAACAGTACAAAAGCTAGAAGACGGAGACTTATGTCTGCTAAACATGCACTTAATGGGGCAGTGGATAAAAATAGGAACCTAAAAATAGGGGGACAATGGTGAATTAGTGCGTGGGTACACTGAGGCAAAGGAGGTTGGTTGTCAGAGCAACGTTAATCGCAGCCAAACGATTAGCTTGGAAGAAAGTTCATATTGAAACGATTCCTTTACTGGCGGTCCAAAGTCATTCTAAGCAGGACTTACCGGTTTTAAACGGACAACAAATCGTATTGCCCGTGCTCACGGTTCCTTTACTGGTGGTCCAAAGTCATTCTAAGCAGGACTTTTAAACGGTCAACAAATCGTATTGCCCATTCTGTAACTAAGGCATACCTTAATGTTGCTCTATTTTTTGGCACGCTACAGACTGAAATATGAACTTTCTTCACAATGAATTACTTGAGTAGTCAAAATATACATTTACTATTAAAAAATAGTCATGTCTTCAACTTGATAGCTTGCTTTAGATTTTACTCTCGATGGTCTTTTACTTTTATTTTCTGATAATTTTTTCTTTTAAATGGTTTTGTAAATTTCATTCAAGCTTCATCTGAAAGGAGTCCAAATCATATAAAATTTTCTTCAGGTCTTTTACAAGAATATTACTGAAATAAATCTTATTTACAGAAATATAAGTATTTATTACTACAACGTAGTGTTATGGTAACTTAAGTTCAAAACTTGAACATGAATTACTAGAGTTTCATTACTACTCTAGTAACTAATCATAGTTTTGTAAGTCATCTCTATTTTGGTCATATATGTAATTATTTCATGTTTTAATTTATTTTTATTTAGTTTAGCTCCCCCGTTCATATATGAACATTTAAGGGGTGTGATTTGATTTATTTATACAACAATTGCAATCCTTTTGGAAACTGGGCTTGTGTCGTTGGCAGAGAGGCCTGTTTGATATCTGAGAAATTTGGTGGAATTTGAAAATTTCAGGGAAAGCAACAATTATTATTATCCTAAAATAATAGCATTAGAATGAGCGAACAAAACCTGAACATTCAACTGGTTGTGGCCTCGAGCCGGTTCGGGCCTGGGCCCGGCCGGGCCTCGGTTATGTTTTGGTGGGCCCGAGCCCGAGCCGGTAGCCACCGGTTCCGGGCCGGGCCGGGCCACCTGGTTGGTTTATTTTTTTTTCCTTTTCTTTTCTCCCCCCCTCACCCCCCACCCCCACCCCCCCAAACCCGTCCTAAACATCAAGCTCAACCCCATAAAGCCCAAAAAATGAAAAAAAAATGAAGAAAAAAAAAATTGGCCCAGACCCGGGCCCGACCTGGCCGGACCGGTTCGCCAAAAACTGTACCCGAGCCCGGAACCGCCCAACCCCCGGGCCTAGGCCCGAACCGGACCCGGACCCGGAAAACCGGGCCAGGCCGGGCCGGTTCCCGGGCCAGGCGGCCCGAACCGAGGCCACCACTATTAAGAAGACATTTTTATTTTTGTAACATTCCTCGTATAACCTTGCGCCTCCACCCCTTCATCTTCTCCAACTTCCACTTTGCTTTCACCGTGGATATCCCTAAGGGTGGTTCGGTACGGTATACCTTATATTTTTTCTCATACCTTTGCCGTACCGAAACTTTCGGTATGCAAAATTTGCATACCTTTACCTTACCGATGTTTCGGTATACCGCATTTTGGTATACCAAAGTTTCGGTTCGGTAACGGTACGGTATCGGTAAATTACCGTGCATGTCTCTCAATACAAAAAATTATCATATGCTAAGGAAACATACTAAATCGTTATTACTAGCGACATGTTAAATCTATTATTAAAATGTTGCGAAATACAATTAATAATCTATTGATGTCAATTCAATATTGAACAATAATTATTATTAGTATATTTAAGCAGTTCAACATGCCACAAATTAAAAAGTAACACATTCTCCTAAAATAACTTGAACAATTTAGATATAATTAAATCAATAGTGATCTCTAACAAAAATAAATATAACTATTCAAACAACTTAGATATAAAATCATTTATTCCTAATCTGATATTGTGTATTTTGTCATTTTTAAGTTTTTTTAAAAATTGAATAAGACTTACGGACAACATTGTGTGTCTCGACTCGCGGAATCCCCATGTAGATACTCTGGTAACATAAGTGTATCTCTCTTCACTCGTCAGCTACTTAGCGGTCCAGCCATCTTGACTTGCAAGCTCTTGGAACAAGATAGACTTGTTTCTTGACATTTGTACATTACTCATTAGTGATTACAATGATGAGCGTAGTAGAAGCCTATAAGGTTATAGTGGGTTTGAGAAATTGAGCTTTTATTTTTGTATTTTTTATTTGTAACCAACTTAAGTACGGAGTATTAATTTTGAGCTTCAGAATTGTAATGAATTTTTATAATATATTAGAATTAAAAGTAATTGTTGGGTAGGGAGTCGATATGGTATACCGCGGTATTTGAAAACATTTACCGTTACCGTACCAGAATAGATCGGTACGGTACCATACCGTACCGAAAATGTCGGTATACCAATATTTTCGGTATTTTCCGGTATTTTTCGGTACAGTAAGTGCAGTACACCGATTTTTCGGTATTTTTGTCCACCCCTAGATATCCCCAAGTAATATACAGGTTCCCTCCGCCTTTTCCTTATTATGATTGTCTTTCTTACACCCCTTTCATCCATCTTAGTTTCTAGTGAATGTTTTTGTTGATTATTTTAGTTATGTTTTGTGATTTGTAGCCAAACTTTGTGTGATATTCGAGCTTGATAAATGTTACCCTTTTGCATCAATTTGGTAAAGTGTACTCGAAATTTGTGTTACATTTGAACTTAATTTATAATCTTTACTCTTAGGAATTGAAATATATTTCTAGGTTTTGTTCTTTTTTATATCGGTTTTCATCAACAAAACCTGGCTGCTTTTTGGATTGTCCATTTGTTGAATTAGTGGTGGCCTCGATTCGGGCCGCCCGGCCCACTACTGTGCGGGACCGGTCTGGCCCGGTTTTCCAGGTCTGGGTCCAGTTCGGGCCTAGGCCCAGGGGTTGGGCGGTTCCGGTCTCGGGTACAGTTTTTGGCAAACCAGTCCAGCCGGGTCAGGCCCGGGCCAATTTTTTTTCCTTTTCATTTTGTTTCATTTTTTTGGGCTTTATGGGGTTGGGCTTGATGTTTAGGACGGGTTTGGGGGTGGGGGGTGAGGGGAGAAAAGAAAAGGAAAAAAAATAAACCAACCAGGTGGCCCGGTCCGGCCCGGAACCGGTGGCTACTGGTTCAGGCTCGGGCCCACCAAAACATAACCGAGGCCCGAACCAGACTGAGGCCACAACTACTTATTGAACGCTAGCCAGCATAGCGTCTCATAAAAGAAATGGACTTCTGAAAAAAGTTATCGAACGAAGTACATAACTAGTCTTTTAGACTTTTTAAATACGTAGTCATAGATAAGTCAGATGCTACCAACTTTTGTTATAAATCTATCGGGTCCTTTCAGTGGGTGCCGGTGGGAGGTATGAAAATATAACTGTGGAAGTTTTTTTTTTTTTTTGCAAATATCCCAAACACAATTAGCAAATTAGAGATCCAGCGTAAATAACACTCCATTTTACACACTCAACTGTATTCTTCAGCAGAAAGGCTGCACAGAGAAACTTGCAGAGATTCAGACCCATAGGGTTGAGAAAGCTTCTTCAAGGGCCCTTTTCCTGCTTATTTCGACGCTCCATCCACCAGCCCTTGCAGCTCTTTCAGTTCGTTCTCTCAGTTTCTCTTCATCTTCAACCTCAAAGCCATACACATCATGAGCAGCCGCAATTGGGACAGGCTGTGTTGGGCGTGGCTGGCCAATAGCAATTGCCGGTGCATATTGTCCATGTGGCACAGTACTAGGCCCAGCTTGAGAACTTTGGGTTGCTGCCTGTGCAAATGAAGATGAAAATCCAGTCAAACAAACATAGCACGACAGGAAACATCACCGTGGTCCTGGGTGACGGGTGACTCCTTTTCCAGAATAAACCATTGAAGTAATTTAGGAAGCTTGAAATAAGCTAAAATTCAAATTAAAAAAAAATCATTTTTTTAAATTGAGGATTTTATTAAACTATTGATGTAGCAAAAAAGACAACCCAAGGCAAAACGTTGCAAAAACAATGTGGTAATGAACTGTTAGGGCGAAAAAGAGCAAGCAATAAGAAACAAAAAATCAGCTGCAAAAATGAAAATTCAGAAAAGTAGATAAGCAGGACAGAAAAGCAGCAAAGTACTGGCTAATGCCCACAGAATGCCCCGTGATTCTTTATGGGTAGAAAAAATATTCACCACTTGGCACCAAATGCACAAAATGCAAAATTTGGAAGGAATAATAGCAAATCTCCACTTAATACTTGATGATGACAAAGCAAGCCATATTATATGAGCATCAAAGCAAGCAAGCTAACAATCTTTTAGTTAATATTTGTCATCTATTCTCCAGCTATTTGAGCATTTGATAACTTGTCTACGTTTAGGCTCGGATATATGGAGGTAACACATGTGTTCTATAGCCTCTAGGCACCTAATTAACCAATGAAGCAAATCATCCAATGTTTGAGAATGCATGAATTAACTAAACGAAGGATATTTGTCAAAATATGTGTGTATAAGATCAACTCACTGTATCACCATCATGTCGGGAAGGTCCCTTACTTAAGGCTGCTGCCAACTCCTCAGCCTAATTTACCACATAAAAACCTGCATGAGCACTATAAGGGACACCATAATATACACATTTTTGAATAGTAGGTACTGAATATACCTTGCGAGCTTGAGAAATCATGATTTGTTCAGCATTTTCTTTTTGGTATTGAGAAATCTTTGCCTCAATAGCAGGAACATCTATTCCTTCAATCAAATCACATACTGCAAAGAGACAATATTGTTAGGCAGTTTAAGACTTTTGAAATCTAGTCACTATAATACAAAAACTTACCCATATTCTCTACTTCTTCCAAATAATCATTGTAATCCCGTAATGAAGGAAAATCCTCTTCTCTTTTATTATATCTGCATAGTTTAACGAGCATACAGTGTAAACAAAGTCATCCAGTATGAAACCCCCAACAGTTTGGACTTCTATCTCACAAATTTCTTTTCTCCCCCACCACACCCCTGCCTTCTAGATTATATAAGTTTGGTGTTTATTACCAAGTTCTAGTCCATCTGTATGCACATAACCAAGCTACTTATCAGGTAATGTGCTTATATGGTAAAGCCTAATTAACCAAATCAATGCTTCAACGCATTTTAGAATCCACCTTTAGATGTTTAGTAAATATAATGGATAATGGATTATGGACCGTAGGTAAGATTTTGGCTGATCAAAGCCGATAATCTGTAAGAAGTAGACCATGAACCATTAACATTCATCAACCATTCTCTAAATAAAATAATCATTAATCAATATTCGCAAGTTCGAGACAACATGGACAAATTCATCAAGCATCTCACACATCATATGTACTTCTTACAAATTGATGGTAAAACAACCTCATAGCAAAGCAGAAAACTGTATACAGAACTGAGCAATCATAAAGAGCCATGGCCACTTCATAATTCTATTAATGCCTTATTCAAGCTGAATAAGTAAGAAGAATCGTAGGGAAGGAGGAGAAATTATTTGCAATCAGAGTAACTACAAATTTCAACAAGGAGATAACATTGAGACGCAATGGTGTACGCATCCAGCACATCAATAGTATCAATTATTAATGCAATTCCAGCACATCAATAGTATCAATTATTAATGCAAAGATAATTAGATAAAACAGATATCCATGAAGGAATGAACTGATGGATTTGAACACTTTGATTTTAGACAGTGAGTTGGAGGAAGAGTTGGAGGAAGAGTACTCTCATTCCACTGTTTAAAAAATAAGGGTGATATAAAAAAAATGTGCCAACTACCGAAGGATTAAGCTTATGAGTCACACCGTGAAACTTTGGGAGCGAGTGGTTGAGCAAAGACTTCGAAAGTGTGAAAATTTTGAAAAATCAGTTTGGTTTTATGACTGGACGCTCAACAACTGAGGTCATTCACCTTCTTAGACAAGTTGTGGAGAAGTATAGAGACACTAAAAAGGATCTGCATTTGGTGTTCATTGACTTAGAAAAAGCATAAGATAGAGTACCTCAATAAGTCCTTTGGTGGACCTTAACTAAAAAAAAGCATATCACGTAAATATATCAATATCATCATGGATATGTATGAGACTTGTACTACGAGTGTCCGTACTAGTGTAGGGAGGACCGCAGAGTTCCCTATTACTATCGGAGTGCAGCAAGGATCGGCTCCGAGTCCTTTCTTATTTGTAATAGTTATGGATGAACTTATGAAGTCAATTCAAGAAGATATACCGTGGTGCATGATGTTAGCCAACAATATTATATCGATTGATGAGACATAATCGTGTGTTAAAGCAAAGTTGGAATTATGGCGACAAACATTGGAGACCAAGGGGTTTCAGACTGAGTTGAAGCAAGACTAGGTATATGGAGTGCAAGTGTGGTGGAGGTAGAAGTAGTAGCAATAGTGGGATTACTCTTGATGGTAAGGAGATACCAGTGTTGATTTGTTTCGTTACTTGGGCTCTATAATTCAGAAAGATGGTGAATTAGATGGAGATGTATCTCATAGATATAGAATCAAAGCTGGGTGGAATGGCGTAGATTGTTGGGCGGTGAAACATTGTCAACTTCAAAAGATGAGTGTAGTAGAGATGTGTGTTGCGTTGGATGTGTGGACATACCAAAAAAGACCACTTGAGGAATGAGATAATCAGACAAAAGGTGGGAGTAGCACCTATAGAAGATAAGATGTAGGAGTCTCGTTTGCGCTGATTTGGGCATGTGCGTAGAAGATCGAGTGATGCACCTATTAGACACAGAGGAGAGGGAGGGAAAGACTCAAAAGACTTGGATTAGAGAAATTAGAACTGATATGCATCTTCTTGGGTTAGTTGAGAGTATAAATTTGGAGAGGACAAAATGGAGGGCGCGCATTCGGGTGGACGATTGATCTCCTTCCCGTCTTTCCTGTCTCTTTTTTTGCTATCGCTTATCTTTATCTTTTTACTCCTTCCGTCCCATTTTACCTGTTCTACTTTCCTTTTTGTGTTGTCCCAAAATAAGTGTCTCCTTTCCTTTTTAGGAAAGAAATATGTGGTCTACACCATTTCACTTTATTATACTCAACCTCAACCACACCTTATACTTTTTCAATCACTTCATTAATAACAGTAACAAGTTAAACTAAGACACATAAAATGGGACAGAGGTAGTATGTTATTATGTTATTTTTATCTTCTAGTTTTTTATTCTCTTTTATCTTTTTATCTTCCATCTTTCTTATATTCTTATGTTATTGTTATCTTATAATTATTTATCTTTATTGTATTCATTTTTTTCTTGTCTGTCTTCTCTTTTTGACATCGATATCATGGATCAACTCATGTTAGCCGACCCAAAAATCTTTTAGGATTAAGACTTGGATGTTGTTGCTGTAAGTTGTAACTCTAAAATGGTAAAGAACAATGTCACATCCTAACACAGAAACACATGTCTTATATAAGGTTCACACCTTTCAACAATACAAAAATATAGATGATGAACTTATGGGTTTATGCTTACATCACTTCAATGTATATGTACGGAAATAGGCATTTATGACAGGCGAGAGCGGGGATTACAGCTAGTAGTAGAAGTAGTAGAAGAAGAAGAAAACATACATATTGCCAATGCGTTTACGTATGGCCATTTCTTTGACAAATGGATTGCCTCCAGAAGCGACCACCATTATCCACTTTTGGTGTAGTTTGCCCCCAACTTGTTAAAACACTAGCACAGATCTTCAAAATGTTAACATGATCCACACACAAATCCTAGGTCTCCAAAATTGTATTTCCAGCTCAAACAAAGTGTAAATTGGGTAATGTCTCGCACAATCTTTGCTCTTTGGATGGGTTCTTCAGCGCAATGCAAGCTCAGATTCTTTTTCAGCATTTATAGTATTCTCCCAATCTAAAATTTCACATATTTCGTTGCAGAGCAAGTTGAAATTCAGGATTTACAAGATCAACGGACTGGTAACTAAGTTTAAGCAACCTTTTTTGATTTAGGTAGTTTCAAATTACCTACCCACAGAGCATGAACTCAAGTGTTGCCGTTCACTCTGTTTGACCCGTATTGTGCAACGGACTGTCTGCCCTCCTCCCAGTTTATCCACTTCGTCGACCAGGCGTCAAGGCAGCTGATGGACCGGAGTGGGAGGAACAGGGCCGGCTCTGACAAATTAGAGGCCCTGTTCAGAATTAAACAAGAGGCCTTATTTTGCTATCATCTGCCCAAAGCCTCCATCTGAAATGAGAGCTTGAATCCATGAATGTATATTCTTAGACCTTATTTCTATTACAATTGAGAAAACATTATAATTTTAATTAAACAAAATTTATCTTTTTCTTTGTAGTTTAGTTATTCCTTGAATATGTTTACTAAAATTGAGTGAGCTATACCATTAAAATTGAATAGATTAATCAGTATAAAGATTGAAAAAAAAACAGTATACCATATCGAAGGTATACATATGATCCATATACTTCATTTTGTTTTTGTAAAAAACTGAGAAATACTGAACAATCAGTATTGAAAGTTCTTGGAGACCATTCATATCTACGGATCAAATTCTCAAGTCCAATCCTTAAAAATTGTAGTTGAAGGTGGTGGAGATTTTACTGACATGGAGTGGGTACCAAAAAATATTGGCCAAATTTATTAAAGAAACATGGAAGAGCAAAGAAGTGAAACAATTTAAGGAACAAAAACAAAATACCTTACAAACTATAAGAAATCGTAGAGGCGTGGACATAAAAAAATGCGAAAGACTAAAGCCAAATTCTTATAACATATTTATACCAATTTCTTAATTGTTAAATATAATTACCAATTGAATTACTTAATAACTTCAATAATAAAAAGGAAAAATTGAAAATAATAATCCCAACTATTGGTGGTCCGCAAGTAATAATCTCAACTATTATTATTTTTGTATAATTCCAACTATACATACAGTCCGCCAATAATGGTCCATGACCATAAATTACTTCTATAACATATAACAAGTGAATTCTAAATAGAAATTAAACTTAAAAACAAAACGTTGGGATTATTTATAGAGATTACTTGCTATATCTCATCTCATCCACTTTAGAAATTAAAAAATTTATTTATAGGGACCATTATTGGCGGAAGGTCCATAAAGTTGTGATTATTCTAGAATAATCAATAGTAATAAAAAATTATTACTATCAATTTTTCCATAAATAAATAAGTTATAACAATCTAAGTTGCAATAAAAAAAGAGAGAGAGAATTCAGAAATCGTATATGCTTACTGACTACCGAGGTCCGAGGCAGTGAGGGGCAAAGGGCCGTGAGTCCGTGACCGGTGGGCGGTGACTCGGTCAGGCACTGAGCCGCCTGATTGCGTAGTCTGCGTCAGGCACTTCAGTCGTGGTCTTGGAGGCGGGGCGCGGTGGCCGGCTGGCGGCAAAAGAGGCGTCGTCGCTCGGTCGTCCGTCCAATCCTTCGGTTCTTTCTCTCTATTTCTTTGGACTTGGGCTGGCGGCTATGATAATTCTGAGCCTATGCGAGTGAGCTGGTTGCATCTGTACTGGGCCGGCCAAAGGGAGGAACTATGGAATAAAGTAAAGGGAAATTTTGACAAGTGGCTCTAAGGCCATTTGTAGTGGTCAAGAATCTAAATTGTTAAATTTGGACTCCGTCAACAATCAAAATGAAAGCAATGTTTAGATTCTGTCAATACTATATTTTTCTTCATTCGTGCACCATCAAAAAATAAGCTTAGCATATTTTTTTGACAAAACAATTTATTAAAACATTAATTAAATTATTATAGGTAATGTTTTACTTTTAACATTTTCCCTAAATAATTATGAAATAAAGATACACATTTTGATGTAAAAATAAATAAATTTCGTTAATTTTTTAACATTTTTCGATTAACAAAAATGAGTTTAGTTCAAATAAAGCTCGATTGTAAAATATTGAGTTATTTGTGAATGCTTCATGAATTAAAAATTTCTAATGTATGATTTTTTGGACTCGGAAAAACTTCAACGGTTAAAAATTGAGATTTTTTGTTAATTGTATGTATTACAAATTGGTGTCATATGAAAGATCACGAAAATTCATGAATTTTGATATGCTTTTTAAAAATTTTGGAATACAAATAAAAAAAGTTATTAGAGTTTTAAATAATGTGATGTTTGAAGACACAAGGATGACATCATCATTTGAGAGTCAATACACCATCTATTAGAGCATCTCCATTCATAATCTCTAATAATCTATTTTTTCTATGATTCTTACCTTTTAAATAATGTTATTGATGGATAGTCTGTCCGGGGGTGTCTTATCCGAGGGTTAGAAAGAGAAATATTAGAGAGATGTCAGAGCAAATGAGGAGGAGTGAGTAGTATTAATGATATGAAGATCAATGTAATACTCAGATGGTTTACAATGAGAATAAGGGCTGCTATTTATAGCAGCCATAAATGCTGGTGGCATACACGTGTCAGCCATCCGACGGCTGAGGGTCAGCTCAATCGGGATGGCAACGGCAGAGGCATGTGCACCGCATTAAATGCGGTGGTTGGACGTGACACGGCATTAAATGTGGTGGTTGCTTGTCCCTAGAGGAAGCTTCGTGGAACCTCAGAACCCGCGGCCAGTGGTGTGTGGCCGAGGGGTGTTAGGTAGCCGAGGGCACCTAGTGAGTGTCGAGGGCTCCAGGTAGCCGAGGACCACTTTTTACGCCGTTTTCTCCCAGTAGCCTTGTGAGCTCAATTCTGGACGCCTGGTGTGATTTGGAGCCCTCGGCCAGGGAGACCGAGGGCAGTCCAGAGTGTGTTTTTGGGCTCTTTCATTACTTGGGCCGCCATATTTGGGCCTGGTACGCTCCTTGGGCTTGTTGGGCCTGTGTTGGAGATCCAGAAGTCTGTGGGCCGGGGGTTCCTGGGCCATATACTCCATCAAGAGTCCCCCACTCCTTTTTGCCGAAAGGTACTTGAGGGAAAAGGAGTAAATTGTGTTGCCACGTTGGCTTGCCGAAGGCTTCCCGGCCCCTCAGTCCCCCACATGTCGAGGGTTTTCTGAGGGAAGCACAAATGAATCGCCTGTATGTGTTGTGACGAAAGCTGACTCATTGTTACCAGTGACTTGTGAGAATTCTTTGACTTCTTGTCTTTGGCCGAAGGGTATCATGATGCATATGCCCGGGGGGGTCTCCTTTGGTGTTACCCGATGGCTGTTGTATAGGTCACTTGGGGAATTTTTGTTTTATTGTGATTCCCGAGGGGTGTATCCCAGTCCCCCACTCCTTTAGGCCAAGGCAAGTTCGGGTTGAAGGAGTTATTAATAAATTTATATGTATTAAGAATCTTTCCACGAGAACATACTTTTGTTGTGGGAATGCGTACTCTCTGATGAAATAGTCCTTATTATTGAAAAATTTATTAGGTACATAAGTACATCTACATGTGAGTAAAATTATAGAACTAGTAGCAGAAACATTCGAAAGGTACAAGCTTAAAACAAAAAATCTCTATTACTTTTAAAAGTTTAAAAAATCTTGGTAAAACTTTTGTAACGAGGGAAAGATGCCCAATAATGAGGAGGGTTGTTTTATACCTAAAACAAATGTTGGTGAAGGACTTTTAGGAGATTACATTGTTACCTATTGGAAATTTGTATGGGAAATGCTTACTTTTGCGGTTCATATTAGGGGAGGACAAGACCTGGCCTCGGAAATGGCCGTTTTTAAATTAAGATTTTAGATCAGGATCGAGACCAGACCGGTGAAAACAAGGCCTCAGGCCTCACCTTTTGGGATCGGGATAAGAGCCCATGTTTTGACCCCGTGCATTATTTTTATATTAAAATCATTGAGAACATTTTAAAATGGGCTATATTCCATTTAAAAGTAGAAATATAGGTAGTTAAAAAAATTCGAGAGCGAACCTAGACCAATTAGAAGATTGGAACCGAAGATAAGGTCACTGGCCACCCTATTTATTTAGCACTACCTAGAGCGAGTTCTTTGGTCATTTTTTTATTTGATTTGACTTCCGATAGAAAGGTCTTTAATATGGACATATTTATTAATTATCCGACCATATTTGTGATTGATAGAATTACAATATTAAAAGCAGATTCAAAGAAAATTTATGAAATTATATCGACAATTTTCTCTAAATGTAGATTAAAAGTTATTTAACCATCATTAAAGGATATAGAAGGGGGTAAGAGTATATTTTTGATAGTATAGGGAGTGATTGATAATGCATCAAACTTCAATTGAGTCAATGATAATTTCCCTTTAAAATATTGTTTTCTATCTTCATTCTTCTAGATGCTCGGCCCGACATGCTTAGGAAGATTTGTCCCTAGAAACCTGACCCGACTTCCCTTGGACGTTCGTCCCTGGAAACTCGGCCTAGATGTGTCTTTGTTCTGTATGCACGACCCAGTAGCAGTCCTCGGAGTCGTCATACTCTGCGACAATCCTCGGCCTCTTCCTAGAGACATTCGACCTCCAGATGCTGGGCTGGGTTTCCTCAGGACATCTCTACCTCGACATGCTCAGCCTCTGGGGTGGAGAAGCTCGTCTCCCGACCCTCGGCCTCCATGGTGAAAAATGCTCGTCTGGAAGATGCTCGTCCCCGCACCTAGGCCACGGGGCGATAGATGATCGTCTTCGGCCCTCAGCCTCCGGGGTGGAAAGATGATCGTCCCCGGGCCTAGGCCACTGGACGATAGATGATCGTCTTCGGCCCTCGGCCTCTGGGGTGGAAAGATGATCGTCTTCAGCCCTCGGCCTCCGGGGTGGAAAAATGATCGTCTTCAGCCCTCGACCTCCGGGGTGGAAAGATGATCGTCTTCGGCCCTCGGTCTCTGGGGTGGAAAGGTGATCGTCCCCGGGCCTAGGCCACTGGACGATAGAAGATCGTCTTCAGCCCTCGGCCTCCAGGGTGGAAAGATGATCGTCTTCAGCCCTCGGCCTCCGGGGTGGAAAAATGATCGTCTTCAGCCCTCGACCTCCGGGGTGGAAAGATGATCGTCTTCGGCCCTCGGTCTCCGGGGTGGAAAGGTGATCGTCCCCGGGCCTAGGCCACTGGACGATAGAAGATCGTCTTCGGCCCTTGGCCTCCAGGGTGGAAAGATGATCGTCTTCGGCCCTCGGCCTCCGGGGTGGAAAGATGATCGCCTTCGGCCCTCGGCCTTCGGGGTGGAAAGATGATGGTCCCCGGGCCTAGGCCACTGGACGATAGATGATCGTCTTCGGCCCTCGTCGTATTTTGATTATTTAATTACTTTTTTATTTTTTTATTACATTCTATTTTTATTGCATATTGATATGGAAACAAAATATTGTACAATATTATGATACAACGTAACTTTATAGACAAATAATTACTCCGTACATAAGTTATATAATTATACTTGTAGTATCAAAAAATATATATAAGGTTATGTATTATTTTATAGTAAGTATCAAAGTATTTATCAAATACATTATATTTGGACAAATATTTTGTATCAAATTATATAATAAAAGTTACGTAATACTTATTGCAAAAAACTACGTAACATTTTTGATACTACGTAACTTTTATAGCCATCCCTACACATAAACTATATTTTATATAAATTATTTAATTATTTTTATACCTTTTATTTATTATTACATTCTATTGAGAAATGAACTATCCGTGTTTTCCCCACCTAATAGATAAATAATCCAAATTCCTATTAATTTTGTTCTTCAAAGTTATTTTATAAAAATAAAGAGGTAGTCATAGTATTACCAAAAAAAAAAAAGAGGTAGTCATAGTGTTCCATTTCCTAAATGTGAAATTTTATTTGTCTAAACTCAATCTCTTTTTCAGTATGTTTTCTAAACTCAATGTGATAATGACTAAAATTATAAGCCTTAGATAGATTTGCAATTGTGTTAATACTTTCTTAGTTATTGAAAATTATAACCACAAGATTTTTTAACTTAAAAATGAAATTGATATATACTATTAGATGTTCAATAATATATGAAGACAAGTAAAACTTCTGATCAAGTACCTTACCTTTATAAGAATGGAAATTCATATATGTTTAGTTGTTTCTTTATTTGTACAACTTTAATTTAAAAATTCTCTCACTTCTGTAATAGATTCCTAATCCAAATTAAGAAATCTACATATATTTAGAATATTTTTAATTCAACTGATTTCAGCCTCAGACAAGATCAGATCAAACATCAATCATAATGACAAAAATTATTATTATTATTATTATTATTATTATTATGATTATTATGATTATGATTATTATTATTATTATTATTATTATTATTATTATTATTATTATTATTATTATTATTATTATTATTATTATTATTATTATTATTATTATTATTATTATACATATAATAGACATCTTCCACACTGTATTACTTCACACCAAATTAGAACTGAAAATGTCGATCTAATTTAATACTACCTCCGTTCCTCTTATATTGAGGCAGAAAAGCGTGACACAATTTTTAAGAAAAGCGGGTTGGTGTGGTTGATAGTAATTGATAAAGTAAGAATAAATAAGAATGATTTAGAGCCACACAA